AAAAAAAATTCGCATTTATATAACCAACATAACTTTGCAACAATAACCTTAGTTTCTTTATTTTAATTCATAAATAAATAATTTTAATGACCTTTTTAAACGATATTTCATATTTTAAACATCATGGCTCTTGATATCATCGTTTTTATCCATGTGACTCGTTGAAGTATTAATGTTGGCCACCCATGGGCCATGGTATATATTATCAATTRTTATTATGTTTAAACAGTTTCCAAAATGAATTCATCGTTTTTTTACTAACAATCAAAAACATCACATTAATAATATATTATTTTGATTATGGTTTTAATTTCTTAAGTTTTACTTATAGGTATTAGGTAGGTGTAATAGATACAACATATGACACAACATTAGAAACTCAAATAGGTTTATTGAGAACTGGTGACAATAATTGAATATTGTTTAATAATTAATGCTATAATCAATAATAGTTATAATTTATAAACTTATGCTTACTAACTTATGTTCAACTTATACAAGCTATAAATTAAATATTTTATAAATTAAATATTTTATAAATTAAATTTTTAATCTTCACTAACTCTTGAGGTTGTGAGTACAAGAGCTGCTTTTGGACGCAGTAACACTTTTTCAGTACATAATATATTTCTAGAAAAATACAAAAATTTTAAATAAATAACTTAATTTATTAATTAAATACAATTATTCTAATTTTTAATAGAAATATTAATATTATATAGATGATGATAATTTTATTGTATAGTTCAAAATGTTTATTTTACATATATTTAATTGTAAAATATAGTTACTTACCCAGTAACATAACCAGAGTTAATACTAGAGACCTTAACTTTCAAAGTCAGTGGTAAAGTACCTCTAGCTTCCAACAAGTTAACTGTTTCTATTTCACTCCCAAAGTTAACTACGATAAAATAAGTCGGGTGATCATAAAAACTCCTATAATAAATCAATAAATTAGTCTTTTTAAAATTAGTCATTTTAAACAATTTTAAATGACCTATAAATATAACAAAATTGTATTACATAATACACACTTAATCTACACTTCGTCTTCGTTCTTCAAAAAGATTAAAATACAGTGGAACCTCGATAACTCGAACCTTTATAAGTCAAATTTTTTTTCGCCCCAACCGATTCGAGTTATCRAGGTTTCTCTGTATTATATTAAAGTTGATGAGATAAAAAAATGCATACTAACATTGAATTTAAAATATGTTTTAGTACAATGTTTAAGTATAAAAGTAAATAAGGAGAGTAGTTCACGTTGAGACAAAAATCGTGGTATACGATGAGACCATCCATGGTCTAATAAGACATATGTTATTCTTGATATAAAATTAAAAAATAAGCATGAAAAAATAGTTTAACATTTCAAACTTGGTAATTATTTTTTAAATAGCATAAAATGTACATAATGACATGAAGGACATAGGATCAAGGTATACTATTAAATATACTCGTATAATATCTACATTACATTTTATATACAGATACCATATGAAAAACTTATAGAAATAAAAAATATTTGCAATATTCTTCTTTTAGTTTAAATKAACATACAGTTCCTTCAGTCTTACTTTGATCTTGATATGGTGAATTAAACTATATCAAAAAAACCATAAGTAAATTATTTCACTTGTCTGGTTAATGAACTTGTATCATCGTAGACTACTCTATACCTTAAATATTAAGTAAGTATTTTTACCTATTGTATAAAATATACCAGTTGTATTATTCATATTTTTTTCATAACGATAATGGTGAAGTATCTTAAACTTKAACGCTACAATAATATAACAATTACTATTGAAAAACATACCGTGAAAATCCAAACACCCATTTGGACAGTGTGTACAAATGCAAATCGCCTTTGACAAATGTCAGACTTCTCCTCAATTGCGCCAATTGTCTGTATGACTTTAAGTTACTTTTGTGCCTGGATTCATCTGCCATATTTTTTTTCCAATAATCAGCGTTAAGAGGAAGCCACAATGAAGATGAATTAGAAAAACCTGCATGTAATAACGAAGGTAAAATAATGTTTTTTTTTCTGATTCAAAATAGCTCATATGATATTATAAAGCTATATTTGATAATAGGTACCTACATGTTATTAAATTTATTTACCTGCGTTATACGAATTGTCCCATGGGAATGGAGTYCTCACTGGATCTCTGCTGAATTTCAAGAACCTATAGGGACCCACGTTAAGACCCGCTGGATCAACAGTTTGATCCCAACGAACATTTGTATCAATCATACCTAGTTCGTCCCCATAATAAGTCACTGAGGTGCCGGGTAAGAGGTGTTGGATCATGTGTAGTCCATCGACTAACATTGGATTGGTCCTTGAAGCCACTCTTGCGTTATCATGGTTACCTAACTGAACATTATAATAATTTTTCATCGATATTATTACTGTCCAAATAAAAGTTGCTATTTATTCTACTCACCACCCAGTTAGGCCACATGCCGGTGGGCATACCATACATCCATGATCTGATCATATCATGGACCTGAGCAGCATCAGACTGTTGATCGAACGTTCCGATGAATAAGAAGTTAAATGGAAAATGAGCACCAGGCTCTGAGTTATTACCGTAGTACATCATGGTTTTATTGAACGGTGAGTAACATTCCACCATCATAAATCTAAAAAAAAA